GTGGGGCTCGGGATATGGATACCACTCGCAAATATTTCCGCAATCAGCTTTATGTTACAAATAGTTTTGTTAATTATGATTATGAAACAGATATGTTAAGGTTTGAATATTTTAATTAAGAAAGCAATTTCGTATTTTATGTTTATAATAAGACCCTTAAAAAAAAAAAAAAATGTTCCGTAAATTTTAAGAAATTTCAGTAAGTACAAGTTAAAAAGTTAGTTACAGTGGCGGCCTCAAAGGAGGGTCGCTACATGACCTGCCCCAGAATTTTAGATTTTTAACAAAATTTTGACAAAGGAATCAATTGTGTAAAATCATCATAATTCGGAGCTGTTTAATACGTAAGACTAATAGTTAGGGATCAAAACAAGACATATGCTAGTCATTCATGAAATTAACACATACCTAAAATTGTGTGTGAGCATTAAAATAAATCAAAGCCAAGTAAAATAATACTAAAAGGAAAGAACAATGAAATGAAAAAGACAACTCGTTACTCACCGAAAAACGTTTATGTATGATACATGTGACCAACGCTCAATTGAAGTTCTCAAGGAGAAGAAAACGGATGAAAAAAGATATTGCTTATCGAAAATAATAATTTATGATTTGGATAACATCAAAGGTTAACAAAATATAAAAGAAAATCCATGCTTTGCTAGCAAAAAGGTTGTAAAATTCATAAGAAACATAACAATTTATTTTTCCATCTTACTAAGCAGAAAGATCCTCAAAGCTTTAAAGCGAATAATAATAATTAATAACGTATGCAAGTTGCACGACTTCTATACTTCTTTTTCACTCAGTTTTTAATTCACTTTTTTTTTTCTTTTTATTAATCCTTTTTACCACAATTCACGGTCAAGTAATACGACTTTTCCACCATTCAGAAGTGGACGTTGTTTGAGAATATTTTCGTTTAGTTGTTGATTTGAGTTTTTAATTTGAATTGAAATGTGATTTTATGTGAAAATTTTTTACTGTGACAAAAAAATTAGATATGATTATTTTTGAAAATTTTTTATGTAACAAAACTCGAATTGTAAGGGTTTAAATTTTCAACGAATCACATAGACTGCAGACAAATGTTAAAAAATGCAAAAGTCAGAAAAGATGTCTTATATCTATCTGAATATGGTATATTAAGTCAATGGCGTATTGACATTTGTTTACATACAACAATAATAGAACCCAAACTGATGCAAAAAAGAATTGCATCCCTTTTAGTCCAATCTTTTATCTTCACTTTCCTCATGGATTACCATTTTCCCTCTTTCCCAATCCTGCTCAGCTCATTCCTCTTTATGTTTATGGTGTTGAAAATACTGAAAAGAAAATCGAAAACCATAAACTGTTCTTCGAAACTACCCCCGGGACCATGGAAGTTGCCCATCATAGGAAATTTGCACCAGCTTCTAGGCTATTTGCCCCATCAGGCATTAAGAGATTTGGCCAGGAAATATGGACCCTTGATGTACATACGAATCGGACAGGTTCCAACTATAGTGGTTTCTTCGCCGGAGTTTGCGAAAGAGGTGATGAGAACTCATGATGCCATCTTTGCATCTAGGCCCCCCATTCTTCTTTCAGAGATCCTGCTCTATAATTCTACAGACATCACCTTTTCCCCAAATGGAGAGTATTGGAGACAACTGCGAAAAATTTGCATACAGGAGCTCTTAAACACGGCAAGAGTTCAATCCTTTAGACCCATTAGAGAGGAAGAGATGCTAAATCTTGTAGGATGGATTGCTTCGAATGCCGGATCTACTATCAATCTCTCCGAGCGAATCTCCTCTTCAATACATACCATCACGGCACGATCAGCTTTCGGTAAGAAAAGCAAAGATCAAGAGGAGTTCATGTTGATCATGAGGGAAGTTGTAAAGATGGCGTCAGGTTTCGATCTTGCGGACGTGTTTCCTTCTTTCAGTTTTCTCGATCCTCTGATTTTCGGTTCGAGGGCTAAACTCCAGAAGTTGCACCAGAAGTCTGACAGGATAATGAGTAGCATCATCAAGGAACATATGGAGAAGCAAGCAGCGAAAACTGGAGAAAGTCAAACAGTGACAGAAGACCTCGTAGATGTTCTTCTAAAGTTTCATAACAGTGACGTTGGATTTTCACTAACATCTGACAATCTGAAAGCAGTAATCTTTGTAAGTTCATCTGACAAAACTTTTCCTCTATATATAGACTTGCAGTTTTAATATTCAAGTTTGCTTTTTCCTTCCAAAACTTATTAACCAAATTGTATGCAAATATGAAATATAACAAATTGCAATTACATAACATGAGAGATGTTAACTTCTAGGACATCTTCGGTGCTGGGACGGACACATCTGCTACCTCTTTAGACTGGGCAATGGCAGAACTGATAAAAAATCCAAGAGTCATGAAGAGAGCACAAAATGAGGTGAGACAAGTCTTTACCAGAAATGGGTCGGTTGATGAAACAGCTATTAGTAAGATGACATATTTGAAAGCTGTTGTAAAAGAGACACTAAGGTTACATCTTCCTGCTCCCCTACTATTACCAAGAGAATGCGGAGAAAAGTGTGAGATTAATGGTTATGAGATACCTGCGAAAACTAGGGTCGTGATTAACGGATGGGCAATCGAAAGAGATCCTAGATATTGGTCTGACCCCGAGAGTTTTATACCAGAGAGGTTTCTTGATAGCCCTATTGACTATAAAGGAACAAATTTCGAGTATATTCCATTTGGGGCTGGAAGGAGAATATGCCCGGGCATTGCGTTCGGGGTGATTAATATTGAGCTTCCTCTTGCCATATTGCTATACCATTTTGATTGGAAGCTCCCTAGTGGAATGAAAAATGAAGACATAGACATGACTGAGTTGTTTGGCCTTTCAGTTCGCAGAAAAGATGATTTGCACTTGATTCCTGTTGCTTATGACCCGTCAACTACTCGCTAATGTAACATCTGTTTGTTCGGATCATCCCTTGCTAACCATGATAAAATGCGCGTGTTATTTAATATATAAATCATCAAATGGCATGTAGGACTAATGTATCGAAAAGTAACCGTCAAACATCGGGACGTTATCTTTTGGTGTTTTGTCTATCAACGAGAATGTTGCGGTTTTAATGAATTGGAAGAATCATCGGTCAAGTCTTTGCTAGGAAATCTGGTTTTTTTCCACGCATTCTAGTGAGTTTATGTATATTCCATGTTTCATGAGAAAGCTTAGAAGCTTTAAGAGTAATTATTGTTATGCAGAGCACTTTTTATTCTGATGCAGAGCACTTTTTATTTGGAAGCAAAAATACAGAGTGTTCGTGTTTAATCTGATATGCCTGCAAGTATTTTGTTTCATAATATATAGTTTATAAGTGTCGGGGAAAAACATACCCCTACATCCAGAGAGTAGAAAAATAAATTGAAACAAAAAATAACAAAAAAATAGAGAAGACAAAGATTTAGATGGTTCGGAAAAATTTCCTACGTCCACGGAAGAGGGAGAAAAACTTTACTAACAGTTTCAGAATTACACATTCAACAAACTTTCTCTTTCGCTCTGTATCCAAAATTCCTTACACCCTTTGTTTATCTCTCTCCTCATTTTTCTCTCTTTCTCTCAAAAGGAGGCACTCTTTCTCTACATTTTTCTCTTAGCACACAAAGTTTTACACAAAACACTTATTTATAGACTCCTAATAACATTTGTCTAAAAATAAAAAATAATAACTTACCAAAAAACACGAAATAACAACTTTCTAAAAATTAATTTGGGGCAATTACCCAACAATAAGATCGCTACCACTTTGTTTATAACATTTTTCCTCTTTTTTGCAGTGTTGCTGTTACCAAAATTATACTATTTACTTTTAATCTCCACACTTTATGCTATTTTCTTCCTTCTCTCTATTTTAATTTTTTTACCAAAAAACAAATTAAAAAAATGAATGAAAAAGAAAAGAATGAAATATACTATTTAAAATAATTACAAGGCCATTGACACTTGGAAGGCTCAAATAAAAACAGAAAGGAAAAGATAGTGCTGAATGAAAATAATAGTATACGTCCGTGTAGATAATCCCCTAAAAAAAGACTTAACATAATACAAAAGATAGCTTTTCTAGCAATAAGAAAGTAAAATTTGAGTTTTGTTTAAAGGTATCAGTTTGAGTCGGGTCTAACGGCTCAGCCCGAAATCCGACTTATTAGTCTGATCCCATTTCCAATTCAAACCCCCAATTGGATTGGGCTAAATATTTAAGCCCAATACATAATCAGCCCAGTGTCATCCACTCATTACAAATTTTCTTAAATTAGAAATTTTAGTAAATAGCAAATATACAAAACTAAACTAAGGGGATGTTTAGTTGGAGGATTTAAACCATGATTTGAATTATGGTTCATGATTCGTTACAGTATTTTCTCTCACAAAAAATACACGTAAATAAAAAATAATTCTAATCATATGATTCTAATCCATGAACTAAACGTCTGCTAAGTAAATTTTAAAACTATTTGAATTGAATAGCAGTTATAACGACCCCTTATGACCTGTTATAGTTAATCGTTAACCCTTTCAATTAAGCGCCATTTAAAAGGAATATACAACAGAATTGAAATGCTAAATTAATATAACATATTTAAAAGGCTGAATTTTTCATAAACCAATTATCATTTTCTTTTTTTTTTAATAAATCTTCATTTCATTTTTTTTTAAATAACAATCAAATTAAATCAATTATCTAAACCTATTATAAAATCATAAACATATTCAACTTATTCAAAACCAAATTAATCAAAAAAAAAAAAAACTGGATTCCAATCATATAGTCATAATCATAAAAAAATCCATAAACTTAAAAGCAACATATAAAAATTAACTCTTAAATAAACTCTGAACGTTTAGCGGAAAATAAACATGCATGTGGTTGGCCATCTCCCACGATCTCGCCCGTCACACGCCCGTCTAGCTCCATCCATTTACGCTTTCTTACCATCTAGCTGCAAACGTACAAACGCAGAACCTACGGCAAGAGTGGGATTGCAAGTTCTAAACTTACCGAGGCAAACATGAACATGAAATTGTCGTCTAGAACAACAAATTGCCCTAAGGCAGTGAGACTTGAAAGGGTACGTTGCCTTGTCATTTAACGTGAAAAAAACATCTTATTTACTTGTTTTGACATTCATGAGAGTATAACATGGATACTCGTAACATGTAATATCATGAATCTCATAATCAAAACTTGTAAACATAATCATAATCATAAACTAAAGTGTGTTTTGGTGAGATCCTGGCGTACCCGTTTTGCAGGCAATGGCTTTCATTCTCATTCTAACAAGTTTGTTGTAGTTATTGAGGGGGAGACAATATTGAAGAAGATGTTGCACCATCATATCCAGAATCCCGATGCTTGTCGTGTTGCAACAGGTCTAACAACAGATAACATTAGATACATGAAGAAGGTTCCTAAATTCTTTTTACATGATTTTGGAGATGATCAGATTGTTGCAGCTCAAAGTGTTCAAATTGATGGTTCTCCTTTCTTAGTCTACTTTGATCATTATTTTGACAAAAAATGGGAGAATAGTTTGTGCAGACTTTGACTTTGTGTTGTGTGGTTCAGGGGGAGTTTCAGTTTGAATGTGTTTATTTGAAGCCATTTCCTTTGTTTATTTATAATGTGATATTTTGTCAAAACAATGCCAAAGGGGCAGATAGTTAGGATTTTTTGTTGGCATTATTTTGTAAATTGAAGGATTTGATTTTGGGTTTGATTTGGTGATTGATTTTGTGGATGTTGGCATTATTTTCGGAATGATTAGCAGTGTTGATTTGTTTAAGGAACATTGAAATTGATATGTTGCATGCTTCTTTTATGTAAAGATTCAGATTAGTTTGAAATCCGTTCATCTTATATGGTTTTCTATTTTGATGAGTCAACCATTGTGACTTTGGTAACTTGAATGATGATGGAATGTGATTAGGCAACTGTGATTTGCAGCATACTTATAAGAAAATTGTTTCATTGATTTGATTTGATTAAAGTCAACTTGTATGTGTTTTTTGGAAAGTTAAATTTTGATGAGTCAGTAGATTTGCTAAGAGGATACTGCACTGATGTACAAAAACGTCCACATTCGTAGAGTGTTCTGCAAGATTGAAACTGCATTTATAGAGAGAATATCTACAATCTGTGGAGTTGACTTTAGACCATATTTTATAGCTCTGTTCTGTTGCAGACTGAAATTTGTGGACTGCATTAATGTTTTTCTTACGACTGACAGTTTTTGCTATTTAATTGAAGCCTCACGACAATCTCAGTTGGCCTTGGAGCCTCAGCATTACAAAGAGTCAATTTATTTTATGAGTCTTTGTTCTTTATATTTTTTCGGGAGAAGGAATTTGGGTTTCCAATACAAAACTAAATATTGAAGGGATTTTAACGTTAAGCCGAGAGAAGCTCAATAGAAAATTTGTTTGTGTTAGTTTATGTGGATGCTATTATGATCACAGGTAGTGATGTTGTGGCAGTACAACTACTCATCATTGAGTTCAATAGGAAATTTGTTTTAAAAGATCTTTAGGCCCCGTTCACTTCGCTGATTCGAGTTTAGAATTCGAGTTTTTCTATAGTAAAAAGCTCTTACAAACAATCACATCTAACTTTTTTGCTATAGTAAAAAGTTCTCACATAAAATCACATCTCAACTCGAATTCTAAACTCGAATCAGCAAAGTGAACGGGGCCGTTAACAAGAATTTTTTATTGGGATTCGGGTTAGGCGTATCGCTGATGGACTTCATTTATCTCAGTCAAAGTATGTAACAAACTTCCTTTGTAAGGCTAAGATGGAATTTGCTCAAAGTGTAAGATTTTCTATGACCACATGAAAAACTCACCAATTTTGGCTGTGATCCTGTTGAAGATACATAGATGTATAGAAGTGTTGTAGGGACATTTCAATATGTGACTACTACAAGGCCTGAGCTAGCTTATGGTGTTTCCAAGGTGTGCCAATTTATGCAAGCACCTTTGGAAAGTCGTTGGAAAACAGTAAATAGGATATTGAGGTATTTGGTTGCGACATTGGATTATGAATTGCATCTCTTGATGAGGAGTCCAAAATCATCTCTTGGGTACTAATTGAATCTCATTTCTTGGCACTCTAAAAAGCGGCATATGATTATGTCTAGAAAATCTATTGAAGCTGAATATAGAAGAGCGGAGAGCGGTAAGGATTGTAGCCATCACTAGATGGATTAAGACTCTACTTAGTGAAGTTATTTTGCATAATGTGAAGTTACCCCAATTGTTTGGTTTGATAACTTGAGAAGAGTGCTTATTGCAGCCAATCCCATTTTACGCGCTAGAACAAAGCATATCGAGGTAGATCTCTACTGCTTGAAAAGCCGATTGAAGTTCGACATGTATCATCTATTGATCAAGTTGCTGATCTTTTCACTAAGGCCACTTCTAGTTCTAAGTTTGAGGGGGCATGTGAGAGATAAAAGTGTAAATTTAGTTACGTGTGTTATTATGATTGGTAGACAGTATAATTAGTCAAGAGCTTAGATTAGTATTGTAACACCTGGTTAAATTAATTGAGATTAATTAATTTAATTCAACTGTTAGAGTTAATTAATTAAAAATTAGCATTTTAATTTCAGTTATAATTATTCCAATTTAAAAGATTTTTAGAAATTAAAGTTTAACCCCTTGACTTTTAAATATATAATTTTGTCTATGCTATTTAAAAATTTTACAAAAATCCCTGCTGGGATTTTATATTTTTTTCTATTATGTGTAGGCAATAAATCAAAAACACCAATTTAGGTCCAATACCTTGTACTATAGACTTCCTTACAATAAAAGCTCTTGAAGGGCATTTTTAATGATTTTGACATAATGTTCCAAATCTGATTTTAAATTCTACCTTATTTCAATCGACACTCTCCCCCCTTCATTTCCTCTTCTACCCGAATTTCTCTATTTTTCTTCCAAGAAAACTCAAACTTTAAAAGCCCATAACTCACTCATTTCAAATGGGAATTGAGTGATTCTTATTTCTATGAGTTCATAACGACAAGGAGAATGTGATGACACCCATATTGGGCATATTAATCCGCCATGCAAAGTAGCTCACCGGAGCTCCGCTGCCGTCCACGCCGTGAGCCGCCACTTCTGATAGTGCTGGTCGACACCACCTACTTCAAAACGTCTAAACGTCTAGAACAGCCTCAATATGCAAAGCCTTAAAGAAATATTGAGGAA